GTCAGCTGGGTTTGACACGATGATGGTTGGGGAAACTGTTCACAAGTTGTTTTTGAGAGACACGGTTGACAGGAGGACTAATAATGCGGGAGACAATTTGACTTTTTTTAATCATTAAATGTATGTGTAGTGTATTTGATTTTGTGAAAATTCAGCTTAATTTAGATCCTTATTCATTATGCTATGTATTGCAAGTTAAAAATAGTACTGCTGCAATTATAATACGTTTTTAAAAAGAACATATACCATGTGTTTGGTGGAACTCTAAACCTGATTTCTTTACTAGGGCAGCTGTGGCTGAGTGGTCAGAGCAGTCGTCCTCCAATGGAAGAATTGGGGGTTCGATTCCACCAGCAGTCACATGTTGGAGTGTCCCTGGGCAAGACACTGAACCCCTCATTGCCTCTGATGTGTCCCATCGGTGTAAAGATGTAATCTAAAGCACTGATTAGTCTTTACAGATTCAGATTAGCTTTGTAGAGATCTAGTAGAGTGCTGTACGAATGTGAGTGTGGAGGTAAATGAGGGCACAGGTTGTAGTGTAAAGTGCTTTGAGTATCTTTATCGGACAGAAAGGTGCTATACAAGTACAGTCCATTTACCATTTATTTACTACGCCTACACAGTCTGAAAACATTTCATCTAAATGCTTTTGTAGGAGCTCAGTCTAACACTTTTTTTTCCCCCAAGACAAGAACACAAGAGGAGTTGTTTTTTTCTCGTGTCCAAAGGGCACAGTGATGAAAGTAGTTTTTCTGCAGGCAGGCACAGTGTTGCAGGTGACCGTGTCACTGCATGATAGAAACGACAGGAATTCAAACTCTGACAGACCTGCTGAAACCTTTTACAGCGCGCCATGCCTGAGTTGGTTGGCTTTGCACATTACAGTCACTCCTCCTGATTGAGCATAATAGCGACAGCCACTCCCACTGATACCGAGGACAACTTGTTACAGAAACCTGGTGATTATGACCCGCTGTGAACAGCCTCGCTCCGTGTCCCTCCCCTCCACCTTTCGCTCGTGGCCACTTTGATCAATTCTGCACTCTTGCGTCCTTGACTGCTGCCCCCGATGGCTGACCCCTACATTTAAAAAAACTCCATGTTTATGTAAAAGTTTATGCAGATTAATACCAGAATTTATGCAGATGAAGTTTTTGCCAATCATGTTTAATATGCTGACCAACCTCTACGTTAGCCCTTAATGATTCTCCCATAACATCTACACATATTATTACCACAGCAGCTGACAAGAAGCAATTATCGAATTCCTAACATTCCATTTATGTGCATTTTTTTAAACCATTTCATTTACAAAATAGGTTATGTGACAAACGAGACCCAGTGTGCGTGGCTCACGATGCTACGTACACGTGATGATACCCTCTTAAAACCATCGTACTTCCTGCAGCTCCACAGTGTCTGTCAAACAGAAAACAACTGCAAGCAGTGGCACCAAGCGGCCTTTCAGCTGTCTGTGTCACACAGAGCCGTAAACTCGCTCATAAGTGGCAGCCGCATTGCCAAGGTTGAACAGTCAAGTGCCATCAAGTGTAGTTTGCCATAGAAATGGGTCTATCTGAAAGCAAACAAAGGGCTCACTCTTGACTCAACCCGTTCCGTGTAGGCTAAATGTGCTGAGGCCTGTCTGACACTGGAAAATGGTTTTCAGCCTGAATAGAAAGAAGAGAAGCAAGATTGTAAATGTCACCATTATAAGTTTGCTGGCTGTGTAAGAGTGGAAGAAAAGTGTTTCATTCAGCTCTGACTGTCACTGTCGGTTTGAATGCGGTGCAGCGGGACTGAAAGAGTAAAGTCAAGGTCGGTGGAGATGTTTTGATACTTTTGATAAGCCTACACGTGTTGTAGTCGAGCCACACATCATTTAAATTGATGAATAACCTTAGCTATCACACTCCACTTTTATTATGACGCCCAAACAAAGCACATTTTTAGTGTCGCAGTCAAGATCCGCTCCAAATCGGAACACACCAGTAGCTCCAGAGCCTCGGTGGATGGCGATGAGCTCGCTTACAGCAGCGCATCAGAAAAGCCGAGCCTCTGTCAGGTCACTAACCCTTTGCGCTTTTAACACAAACACAAAGTGACCTGCCAGTCACTGAGCTAAGGCGAGGTGTCAGCTGAAGTTAGCGCTGAAGTGAGCTAATAGGCCCGTCTGGCACCGAGGGCCACTGGGAAAACAGCTGTTCATTTAAACCTTCCACTTTTCACACTGTGCGTTTGGATGAGAGTTTCTCTTAGCGTGTGTATGTGTGTGTGTCCACATACCATGTATGTCTGTTACTTTGTCCTGCTGTTGACCCGTGTCACGTCTCTTCTGCCTTATTTGATAATGATGCTGCAGTCTAAAGTAACTCTACAGCAAGTCTGTTTCGTCTGGGCAGCGATGTTATCACCACGACCTAAACTAGCTGTTGACACACTTATTAACCTCTAAGTCAGTGAGGTCAGTTTGCCTCTTTTAAATTGGATAATTATCCATGACTTGGCAGCTTGCAAAAAAAAAAAACTATGTGAGTGGACATTACTTTAGGGATTTAGAACTTGACGTTTGGGACTTATGTTGTTTAACTATTTATGTTTGTGAATAATGCTAAAAATGTTAAACGTCTTTAATTTTTTCTTCAATTTTTGCAGCTGTGGTTTCCTTTAAAACAACACAAATGCAAAACACTTCTTGAGTATTCTCAAACATTTAGAAGAATATTTGCTGTATATTGTTTTTGTATATATATATATACACACACAGTGTTTTTGCTTATTTGTGTGTTTTGCACTGAACATGCGCAGCTCATAAAGCAGTTTTGACGTGCGTTAAATCGTAGGAAGCATACGATTAGGAAAAATAAATGCTAATTGCTCTGTTCCTGTTCGCCTCTGTCCCCACCAGGCTCAGTTCTTCTGCAGCAGACTGATGGAGATGGACAGGCTCCACTGGATCTGGTCTCTGCGCCGGGTCAGAGGGAGGAGCTCCTCCGCAGCGCACAGGTCGGAGACTCGACCCAGAGAAACAAAGAGACAGAGGTCCTGAACCTTCCTCTCCTGGAGGCTGGATCCTGTCTTCTGGGCCACCTCGTTGTCTCCTACCAGCTGGAGCGGGGTCTGCCCGGTCTTGTTCAGCCAAACGACAAGCCCCACAGCCTGGTCTACAAGCTGGTCAGAGCCTTGGAGACACACTCCCTCCAAAAAGTGACCATGGACTGGACGGATCAGCGGGCAGTGAGGCTGGTGGAAGATGTCGAGACACTGTTGGAGCTCAGCCAAGGGAAGCACCAGGAACAGGTGTCTGTGGTTGTGAAAGAGTGCAAAGGGGAGAACACTGCGTTCCTAATGAAGATACTGGAGAGTCTGAGGTCAAGCGGTGACGCACTAGTAGCAGATCTTTGAGGAAAATAATATCCTTCGAAATAAATTTCACGTCATGTGTTGTTAGAAAAAAGGAAACTGTTAACTACATGTTTATATGACGTTCCCTCACTTATAATAAACAACCGACCAGCCTGAATTACACTCACCGGCATGAAGTTGTCTACAGGTAACGCCAAAAGCTTGTAATGTTAGGTCTTTTATGCAAAGACGGCATTTTATACGTCAATAAAAGTAAAATAAATAATGGTCTGCTACAAAAAAAAAAGGGTTGTAAGCTCAATCATCCAGGTAGATGACAACAAAACGGTTAAATTGTGTCATCTGGACCAGTTTCTTTAAGTGAGAAACGTTTCGTCTCTCATCCAGAGGACTTCCTCAGTTTACAGCCATGGGGGATGAAACGTTTATCACTTAAAGAAACTGGTCCAGATGACACGATTTAACCGTTTTTGTTGTTAATGGTCTGCTACATTATTTAGGTTTAAAAAAAAAAAAAAAAGTACAAAAGGAAATCAAAAGTGTATTTTTATTAAATGTTTTTACAAACGTTTTGTTTTGTTGTTGGAACAACACTAACATTTCACTTAGAGCTGAAGCTACCTCAAGTTTTTCATAGCTGTTGCTTTGTAATGTTAAAATGTAAATACATAATGTTTGTTTTAGTTTTTAAATATGTTTATATAATGTTCAACCAAATATAAAATCAGTGAAGGGTCATTATCATTGAAGCTGTGCAAACTTTTTTTCTCTTTAGTGCTAAGAAGCAGATGACCAGATTTATTTATTTATTTTTAAACAAGACTATCAAATCAGAATCTGGTTAGTACTTAAGCCCATTTAGCAAATACCACAGCTTGTAAATTATTTTTAGTATATTTAGCTAGAAATCGTATTTTTGTTTGGGTGAGTTTTATATTTTACTTGCACAATATCTTTGTAAAGTTTGTACACTTTTTTTAAGTTATCCACCATTTGATGCAAGTTTTGGTTTTTATGGGTCAGAGGTCAGATTATGATCTTGATTGAAACAAAATGTGCAAATTGTGCTCAAATGTTTTACATTGACATGTAAACCTGCAATGCAACTTTAATAATCCACACACTGTGAACTTAATAAAAAATATTTAATCTGTTTTTATGTTGTTTTTATCCCAAAATAAGCCACATAGATAAGATGCAATTCATTATTTAAATGAGACATGTGCAACATGTTTTGCCCTTTCTTACACAGGTTGTGGAAACATTGGCGGGGCCCAAAAAAAATCATATTACAGGCAGACAACACTGCAGGCAAAGACTTGGACAATAAGGGCAGGCATACACCTACTTTACAGTATTACCACCACACTATCAAGCATACTGTATAAAATACAACCATGAATGAATCAGCAGTTACCTTTGTACAGTATCCTATTTTTTAAAAATAGTCTTGTGACAACTTTTTGCAAATAAAAGTGCTTTGTTTTTGTTTACAGCTGTCAGTCTGATACATTCTCATATTTTCTCTACATTATACAAAAATCACACTTTGGTTTGCTTTAAAACAAAGCTCAAAACAAAAATAAAACATTAAGATGCTCCACCACACAACCGTCACTACAAATGGCTGCAAAAGTAACGATATGTCATTCAAGCAGACCCTTCAATATAAAAAATTGGTCACGAGTCACAAAGTGTAAACGCTAATCAGTTTGTGGTGTTGGTCTTAGAAACGACAAAACGAACAAAAAAGATTGGCTGCACTTTGGCAGATCCTGTTGATACTAAAGCACAGAAATGGAAGGCTGAGCCGGTGGGGAACTGGAGCGGATCGAGGTGATGGCATGGAGACAGACAGATGAGGCAAGAGAATGACAAAATGGCTGAAAGAAGCTCTAAGCTGCAGTGAACAGGGGTTTACGGAGTTAAAGACAGACGGTCGAGGAGAGGGAACCAAAAGAAGTAGTGGCAGGGATCAATAGGATGAGATGAGACCTCCTCAAACACAGCCTGCGCTGTGATCTTTCAAGAGACGCTCAGCAAGCAGCCCAAGAGACTGTTCCCTCAGACAGGGTCGCAACCTTGCTCACTGACGAATGAGGGAACCGCAGAGAGAGCAAACGGAGAAAAGCATGACGGGAAGTGGCTTGTAAAACAGTAACGCACACTCCTCCATCCCTGACATCTCAGTCCTAAGTCCCTTCAGAGCCTTGTCACACGATGACTTGCTGCTCATCTAGCATCTCTGCAAACCGAACAGCAAAAAACAGCTGGCGCCTCTGCTGCGCCAAACACACACATTGATTGATTCCCAACATCAGTCTAGAGCTGGAGGGGAGATGCAATTGTAACACACATCATGGCTGAGAGAAGCAACATTTCTTTGATTGCATAAACGTGTGTATGCAAACACCCTTACTCTGTAAACACACAGCTCGCACATGCAAACCTCTGTCTCTGGAAAAGGCTGATCAAAGTTGAGCTGTGGGCACAGGAGGTGGGGCAGATGGAGAGGGCGGCCAGCCTGGGGCACAGCATCACACACACAGAGAGAGAGAGAGAGAGAGAGAATGCGTGCCTGAGAGGGAGAGAGTGTTCCTGCTCAAATACGACATTCTGTTTTCATCTATGAGCAAGTAGTTACACGATGTGCGAGATTTTTAAGATGAGATGTGTACTCTCGTGAGAGGATGAGGCTCTTTGTGTCTGTATTCATGCGGATGCAGGAGAATGCTTGTGTGAATGCTTTCATGTGTGGCAATCGAGGCAGACACACAGAGATGAGAGAGGAGGAGACCGGCCTTTCAAACAAGATTAGGACTGTGGCTGCCTACAGGCCCGCCTGATGACACTCTGCGTACACTGGAAGACATCTATATAAACAGTGCGACTGGGCTGACTCGTTCTCAAAAAGGTGTGTGGTTGACTGGCAATGTTAATTTGATTTGAAAAGGAGTTGGGAAAATATTCAACTGTGACATTTCTACTGGGGGTACCTCAAGGCACCATTTTAGGCCTCATTCTTTTTTCATTATGTGTCACAAAACAATAATAATTTATTTGGATAGTCAAATATAAACAGTCATGACAGTACCCATTATGTTCTTATTGTTTAGTAGGAACCTTGGTGTAATATTTTGACTACGAATACAATTGTCAAGGTTAACTATTTTCAACTAGGGTTCTTTATTAGTACACTCTGCCTTCAAACAGCAGTTCTTGCATTTTTACATCTTTCCTGTGAAGAATTATAGCTCGTATATTGGTCTTGTACTCACATTGGTTTCCTATCCATTTCAAGATGCATTTATACAAATTGTATAAACAATCTTAATTGTAAGGCACCACTTTATTACCCTACCTCTCCACCTTTACACTCCAGCCAGAACTCTGAGGTCTTCAAATCATTTGTTGTTCTCAGGTCCAGTCTCAAAAACAGAGGTGAAAGAGCCTTTTCGTGATGGTCTTTAACCCAATAAACATCTGATTTGGCAAATTAAAACTGTTCAGACTATTGATCATTTTAAATCTGTACTTAAAACCAATTTACTTTTGTTTAAGTTGAGCAGAATATCTAAACTTTTATTGTACAAGGTAAATTACACTTGTTTGATTTTACCTTATGTGTATTTTGAACATAAGTATGTTAAAGCACTTTATTCAACCATACTTGTTTTTAGGTGCCCTATAGAAATAATGACTTGACTTATTGACACATCTAGTAGGGATCAGCTGTAACATTGTCTACGCAGTGGTCCAGCAGGTGGTTGTTCAAATTTGTTTTGTCTTTGTTTTCGGAGGTTTGAGAGAAGTTTATTTGGCTCCTGCATTAAAGCGCAGACAGATAACACAACAAGCCCACATCCTGTTAGTCCAGATTTCTGTTTGTGTAGTGAAACATAACTGGAGGCTACCGCCGTAATTGCTAATCAACTTGGCTAGCCGAGTTAAGTGGAGACAATCCAAAACTGCCAGTGAACATAACATCATTAACAAGAGGGGACGGAAACAAAAGTTGCTGCAGCACAAAACAATGAGAAAATCTAAAACATATGACCAAATTATTTCATAAAGATGGTAAAAGTTAAAGGAATTCTAATCTGTGGTGCAGAATTTAAGGCCTGTATTTCTGCAGAAATGTGGATGAGCATGATTATCTTTTGCTGCAGTGAAAAATGTCTAAATTTACTAGTGTGACATTTACTATGACAATAAAATGTGTTTGTCTTAGCTGTTAGAGTGAAAGAGAAAAGTGAGACGAGCAGTTTGCAAGCCTGATATAAGTCATCCTATATACACACTGTACACACTGTATACACTGTGATTGTTTGGAACAACTTCTTGTATCGTCTCGTACAAAAATGACACTTGGAGACCTGTCACCATCACAAAAAAAGTCCAAAATGAAATTTAGGAAACAAAAATGGTAAATTAAAAAAGAAGAAAGGTTGAGTTGAGTCACTCTGCTCCTCAGTGTCCAACGTTAGGCCAGTAGGAGAATAGAGAAGAAGAATGGAGTCCGTGGGTGGATGCAGTGATCTACCCGGGGTTGTTTTTCTTCCTTTTATTTGGACTGGGATTGGGATCCAGTTTCAGCTCTCTGTACTGCACCTGTTAAAACACACACAGACACACAATAACCACCCGGTCAGGTGGAAAGAGCAAAGGATGCTTGAAAAGCAGAGACCCTCCGGAGGCTCCGGTCCAGCTGTGTGGAACAGCGGCCTCAGGGAAGGGATTACACACTGATTACAACACACACGCACACACACACACACACACACACACACACAGTTGCACTGTTCAAAGCTTCACTACACTCATGTTCGCTCACAGATGCAAAAAAACATTTTTAATACACACTTACTGCCACAGATGTGTAGCAGGGGCCTAAGGGAAGGGATCACACAAACAAATACCAGGGCAAAGGCTCATGGGAAAGATTGGAGAGACAACAGTCATTTTAGTATCACAAGATGGCTAAAAAACAAGAGTCAAGCAGGCAGCAGGAAAAAAAATGCATCGCAACCCTTTCATTATTCAGAAAAGTTGTTTTATTTTTTGCTTTTTTTTGTACAATTTATTCATCTTTGTTTTTTCCCAATCTCTGCCTGATGAGCTCTTTAAAAACAACAACAACAACAACAACAAAAACGGGCTTTCCAGTCGTCTATCTATAATTCTGCTCAAAAATGAACATAAACCTGAAACGACAGTATGAGGCTTTGAATGTGTTTTTTGGTTGTTTGTTTGTTTGTTTGTTTTTGTTTTTCTTGGGGTGACATGTTAAACAATATGAATATACATATTGTCCATGGAGCTGAGTTGAAGGATGCTGAAAAAAGAAAGTTAATTCTATGTGTAAAGAGGTTTACACATTACAGTACAAATTTACTTAATTACAGTCACTGGATCCTGCAACCAGAAAATCAAGAAAATACTCCGTTACAAATAAACTGCAGCCTTGTGTTACTTTAAATTTCCTGAATTCAGTGACCTGTTACATGTTTATAAAAGCTGTGGTAGTCATTTCTCCTCAGCTAAATTAAATTGACATGTTGGGAAGTAACTGATTTGTTTCACTGCTGAGAATTAGATAGAAACATGATGTGGTTTTCAAATCTAAACTGAAGATGAAGCTATGGAGCGGCAAAAGGTAAGATCAGGGTTATAAATTAATCAAACCTGTTTTTTTGTTTGTTCTTTACACAAATGGAAAAGAGTTCAACACTTTAATAAACTGAATTATGGCGATTATTAGGGGGTTATTATTTTTCCTCACTCGCTCTCGTGCAAGACGTTCGCCTTTCTTCCCTCTCCCGTCCTTCTCCTGCTTTTTTGCTCTCGGTCTTGTGTATTGGAGCTCCTATTTACACATCTTCTGAAACGTAAACTACTGTCATGGATCTGGTCAGCTGGACTTTTAACGCAATCACAATTTTTTTTCAACAAAGTGACAGGGTCCTGGAGAACCCATGCCCCACTGAGGCACATGCGACAAGATACGTCATGGATCTGATGTGCCTTTCCGTATTATCTCAGGAAGATGCCAAAGATTTTGAAATCATGATAGCAGGGTTTCTGCTTTTGGCACTGGCGGACACCTATGTTATCGGCTATTAAAGGAGATGGTGGCAGCAGTTTTGGCCATGGTAAAGCTACCGACCCTTTCTGAAGATTTGGTTCATGCTTTGAGCACCAAAATCAGCTGTTTTACGAGCTAAACTGTAAGATAGAAGCAATTTTTGAAAATCGTAGACCACTTGCAGCTTCTGGGACTCACCAGCATGTTGGGGATGACCTTGGAGGGAGCTACTAAGCATGGACCAGTGGAGTGCCCACAAATCTGGTCATTTTGGATTAAAAGTACCAGCAGGACTCAAGGCTGATGAGAAATAACAGTCTGCCTGAAAAAAATCAACAACTGTGGCTTATCTGAATCTGACTCTCCCGTTTGGCCTCAAAGCAGGCCGACTTTTCAAATTTCTCCTGGGATATGTGTAAACTAAGAAAGCTATGTCTATCGCAACCCCCCTCCGAGAACTTCTGTGAATTTCTTATCAGATCTCTACCGACTGACACCAACATCTTATCAGGACTATGGTCTATGTCAGGGGTGTCAAACCCACTTACAAAAGGGGGCCAAAATTAAAACATTTTTCAAACTAAGGACCGGTTTCAGAATTAACTCAAGTTAGATACCCAACATCTTTTCTTGGTTGCAGGTTCCTCAACAAGAGTTTGATTGGTCTCATTTGATGTTCACTGTTGCACTTTTGACATCTTAATCAAAGATTACTGAAATAAAATAAAGGGATAAAAGTATTTTACATTTAAAATAACATATTGGGGGTCAACCAGGGTCACATTTGGCCCCCGGGCCTTGAGCTTGACGCATATGGTCTATCTGGAAGTGCTTCATGGACAAGTCTCACCATCTTGTCGTCAAATGCACATGTAATGTGTCTATAAATGTGCTTACTGGTAGAGTTTTTTGATGTCTTAAATTGTGTCTTGATAAAGACAAGGTGTGAAGAGATCTTTTTTGTAATGCCACTATCCTCTCCTTGTGGCCTTTTTCCTTTTCCTATCTAAAAGAACAAGGGGTTGCGCTCTCAGGAGCAGCAGCAACGTGCACTCTGCCCATCTTTCGGACATCTGTATGAACATAATCTCACTGTATTTCGGTACAATGATAATAAAGCTTATTCTAATTCAAAACATTTCTTAATCTGGACAAGAGACGTTGTAGTCATGTTCTTAGGGTTGTGCAACCAGCAAAAACAGAAGGAAGTCCTATTATCAGCAAAAAGCAAATGGATTTCCTAAAATATCTCAACTACTTCTTCCATACTGTCATAGACCAAGACATGTCTAATCAGGTGATTTGTTTTTTAATTACTATTGTTTCAGTAATAACTCTGAAAAGAACATTTTGCTCTTTTTTACATAATGTTCTTTATTGTGACTTGGAAAGTTACACCCATTCCCCAACAGGAAGTGCTTCCCACCACTTGATGCTAATCTTTGCAGATGCACACAGATGGTGAGCAGTTCTATAAAGAAAAAACAAACTGCTCTTAACAGAAAGTGATGGACACTTAAATGCAACAGCACCACAGCAGCTGAACAACCAAAAACTGTCACTGGCAGCCATGCCCTTTCAATTGAACACAGACACACATAAATACAGTTGCTGGCTTGGATACATTCAAGACACTGACAAGCACTAGCCACCGAATCAGAATACTAATGGAAAAAAAAGACTAGACTTAAGACGCACAGCACCAAAGAGCCAGTACTGTCTAAGAAATATTTCATACATTGATGCACTATAGGCTACTTGGCTTGTCTGACTGACTGACACTCGCTCTGATTCCTCAGGCAGACAGCAAACTGACATCAATATGGTTTCTCTGTTGTGTCTCGTGGTGAGTCTGTCTACTGCGGACGGGAACGGCAGCGTCTCAGTACTGGCTGGGAACAAGCCTTTATCATGCATCTTGTACTGACTTGTACTGTCGCTTCAATGAAGCCTTCCGGTCCTCTGCCTGGAAGGCACAAATCCTAGATGCAAAAAGGCAGATCTGTGTGTGTGTGTGTGTGTTTCTTCTGAAAAAAAAAACAAAAAACATCTTGTGCCCATGAATGAACAAAAAATACATACAACATTCCTCTGGGGCATTCCCATTCCACTGTTTCACAATGGTGGTCAACAATGTCCTGTTAATGTGCTTATTAGGAGTGGTTAGGTTTGTATTTGTTGCTCTCTGTGCCTTACTAGAAGGCACTAATTTGAATCTGGATGCATCTTACTGCTGTCCACAGCACCCCACAGAAAAATGTAACTTGTTTGATGCAGTGACAAATGAGCAAAACTAGAAAATGGTCTGAGGCATTCAAGGTGGATGAAAACAGGAGACCAGGGAGAGGATTATTGTATTTTATAGCACTGCCAACTAAACCGCACAATAGAGAAAATAATAATAGGAGGATAGTAAGACTTTAATGTAGTCTGGTTGTGATCAAAGACACAGTGCTGCACTCTTGGAATAACTGAACGAATGACTGATCAATTAATTTAAACATTTCAAAGAAACAGCAAGTCATCTGCATGAAGTGTAATGATGTATTTGCTGATTTCAAATTCGCCTTAGAATCTAGCTGTTTTTTGTTACTTTTCTTTTTTTTAGCCATCCTATTTGTTAAAAAAAAAATCTGTATGACTGTATGACTTTTTATAACTGTTTATTGTTGTCGCTGTTGTCCATTGTTGTCATCATTCTTTGTTGAAATCAGGTCTCTCTTGTAAATGAGTCCTCAAAGCTCAATGGGATTTACCTGCCCAAATAAAGGTTGAATAAATGAAAAAAAATTAAGCGAAGTAGAAGAAAAAATGTTAGTTACTCTTTTTTTTACTTCATGTACAGCTTTTATACACTGTTTTGTTCACTTTAAACAAGCCAGTATGGATCCAAAAGTAGGGCAGGTACTGTGCTGTATCACTTGATGTTATCGGTCCCATTTATACGGACAAATGCCTACAGCAGCAAGGAAAAAGAAGCCATGCAGCAGTTTAATTCTGTATGGTGACATTCCTGTCCAAAACAAAACTCTTTGTGAATGCATACAAACAAAGAAAAGTTTGCTTGTCAGTAGAAAGTAAGATTTTTTTTGTCTCATGTAGAGTAGCGAAGGGATCAACAAAAAGAAATGGTGCAGGGAAAAAAAAAAAAAAAACACATTTCAATCAAACAAGTTTTTTTTTTTTGTGAAGAGCTGCCAGCCAGGAGAAATGGGGCTCATATTTGTCACAGGTTCAATCCCACCTTACAGGTGACAGGCTTGCCTGATGCTACACCCTTGGCTCCCTGTTCACCTTACCTAACAGCACACACACACACACATGCATGCAGACACGCACAGACGCCCAAACAGCAAGAGCTAGTTAAAGTCAAAAACAGAAAGAAAGAAAAAGGCAGGGGAGGCAAGGAGAAAGTGGGGCGTAAGCAAAAGAAAAGACATGGGAACAGGGTAAACGTATAAAGAAAGGTAATGCAGCAAGCACATAACCAATTTAGGAACACAAGTGAGGAGCTTAAAGGGGAAATAGACAGGAGAAGAGGTGTGTTAAGACCCAACGCTGCTCAAAAGATCCTCCACCCTCGCTCCTCTCCCAAATGTTGACAGTACAAGTGCAAAACAGGCTTTGAAGCGCGCTCTGCTGAAGGGGTGTTGTGTACCGCGCGTCGTGCTTCGTTTAACGGTGCTACCCATAAAGCATCCCGGGACCTGCTCCTCTCTCCCTAGCACACTGCCTTTCATTCTCCTTTTCCCCTTTCACGCTGAACCTTTTGACAGGGTTTTGATGATGCCAGTGTGGGCAGACAGACAAGGTGGTTGATGGTGGTGGTGGGGGGGTATAAAATGCAGATAGGTGAGTAAATAAACAAATTCAAAAAAGTAAAGAAGTGTCATTTTAATGACACTACGTTATCCTCCATTTTATTTGCAAAGAGCTCAAACACCCCACTGGTTTTCATCTTATGTGACACCTAATGGAGCATGAGGGTTATTAAATGTTTGCAGAGAAACGCTAATGTGTACACTTCAAACGTCTAGAGATCGGAGGAGTCTGCACTCGAATCTATTGTTGTTTTGAGAGAAACGCTATGGTGACATACGGGGCGAAAAGAAGGAACTGCGGCAATGAGAGAAAGTTTTGCCTATTAGCTGTGACAAGACACAAACCGAATAGTGACTAATTGTCTCTTTTTTAGTAAAATGCTTAAAGTTGTTTCAAAATTGGCAAAGCGAAGATGAGAGACACTTCTGGTGGATGTGACTGATGGTATCTGGCAATGTTTCAACCCTTAACTACGTTGCCTTTGCTTCCTGCATGTCCACGGAGGTTTCACCGCAAACATAAATGTTGCTTAAAAATATTAACTCAACTCCCTGCTGCTCATTAGGCTCTAAATTGGAATTCATGCTTATTTTTGTATTGGGGATTTCATCCAGCTCCTTTACAGCTATCATAAAGGGCCACTTGGCATGCTAATTGCATTGGCCCTACTCATGCTCTCCCCAGCTCACATTCCTAATGGTGTCATAAAACATGCTAGTGCGGCGGCACATCCCAAACGCCAGGTAGGGAATACTTCGCACTTTCAGTTTGGTCTTGTTTAGGAAGAACGAAGCGTTCTCTGATAGGGACCGTAAAGATTTACGCTGTTAAAAAAAAACAACAAAAAACAGACACATTAAACCATTAACCAGAAAGAGAGAGTTGTGTTAATCTTTTACGCACACAAATCCTACACACTATGCCAAGCTTTAAAATAGCTGCTCACAGGAGGAGATAGTGATTTAAGTAAACTGTTTAGGTGGTAAAATAGAATACCAGATTCCAATACACCACTAGGGTTTCAGTTTTTAAAAGATGTTTGGCAGTGCTGCTATAGGCTGTTTTGAATAGCTTCCTTTGCTAAATCAAAGTACCTTCTGCTAGCTTTACATCTGACGAAAACAAGTGTTGCTAAAGTTTCTTTCCTGTGATTGCATGCTATAAACAAAAAATAAAACTACACTGTATAAAAATTAAACCCAGTTTTGGGGGCTCTTTAAAACAATTTCAGTTATGATGTCCTGTGGCTCGGTGTAGCTGCTCTTTGTAAATAAAGCCATTAGAACCTCATCAGTCCTGGTTGCACCGAAGCACCTCTAAATGATGCGGAACAGCGCACTGAAACACCCCCACCCCACCTTAACATGCACGACTGCTGGGAGTAAACTTGGGGGTGTGATTATATATGTGTGTGAGGTCACACTGGGGCCTTGAAATAGCACTTCATTAGTCATTCTTGGTGTCAGGCATAGTGGACCTGTGCACTGATGCCAGCGGGTGCTACAGACACGTGCCTGTGAGGGGATGCTCCATTTGGATCCCAGCACTTCTCTGCATCATCCAAAAGCCTCAAAGGCTTTAATACACACTGACGTCTTTGACCCAGTGAGGTGGGGGGCAGGCAGTGAGGTGAACCCACCACCGGCGGCAGAGGCCGGGTGCACCACTGAGCAGAACGTTCTGGTCTGTTTTTAGCCACTGACCGCAGAGTAGTGAGCATTCTCAGAAATCTATCCTTTGCATTTGGCAAAAAGTTAACTGTGTTTGAACCTCCCTGTTTCTTATTTATACTAACTTACTAACTGTACCCCACTGAGACCTATCAAACAATTAATCAACTCTACTGTCTTGAAGTCTCCTTGTATTTTTCAATTTCCATTTTCATCACTTCACTCATCTCAACACGTCTCAGGTCTCTGTAAATCTCAGCAAAACCTTGTAACAGTTACCATTCCAACACCCGCAGTGATAATGTACAGTAGCACCTATAGTATTACTTATACAGTAGGTTCAACTCCAAAGTCACAGGCACTAGACCAGAGCATCTGCCCCTACCTTTCCTAGCCAGCAGGCCCTCATTAGGAGCCTCATAAAGGCCTCGTACCTGCCAGGCTTGGGGCCTTTCACCAGCTACACACCCACAGGCTCCAGGTGTGTAAGGTGGCTGCACTTCACTGGAGGGGACAGCTTGGGCTCATTTAAGTTGATGGCTTGCCCTGCGCCTGCTGCTGCAGCAGGCCCCTGTAAACTACAAAACTGTGCTGGGGCCAAAAGGGGGAGCGCAGTGAGGTGTTACAGGGAGCAAGGATTATGACCCTGTAAAGATGAAAGACGTTGTGGGCAACAGGCAATCAAAGAGGAAGTGTGTCAGCACTGATGTGGCAGGGGACTGGTCATATCAGAGGCCCCGGGTCATTTAGCCCTAGTCACCATCTGTGTGTGGGTGTACGTGTTGAACTTAGCTCAGCAGGGCTTACGAGCCACAGTGGACACCGGTGGGGCTGGATAACACCACAACTTTCACAAGCTGCCACTTAATTGCTGTTTAAACTCCACTTTGTCTTACCTAGCACAGCATGTTGCTGTATGGTTAGAAGACACACACACACACCAATTGTACATTTTACCTGAGAAAGTATCTGAAGTCTCAAACCAAAATGTTAATCTGACCACACGCTTTATGTGACAGCCAAACTGCAAGGGGTCAGTAAACTGTTGATTTATGCTTTGCTCCAATTACCAGCATTGCTGAAAAGTACCAGCTAACTGTAATTATGTGTGAGCGTATATGTATGGAGTCAATCAACCTAGTTATAAGCTTGGCACTAAACTCACTTAACCTTGTTATCTTATAACACAGCTCCAGCTATGTAAGAGGAAATTGAATTAGTCTAGGAAGCTATTAATAGGAAAAACACATAAACCGCTTTGAAATAATTAGATTAGATGTCTGCGTGGCTAAAACAAAGGACACTCCATTCATCCTACAAGAAAAAGAAATGTACAACAATGCAGAAAAGAGGCATGAGTGATGAAAAAGGGACCAAGAAGATAATTAAAGGAGGTCCATCACTAGTCCAAACCTTGACCGGACTCATATTATGTCAAAAGAAAAAGTTCACTCACCACTTGTACGTCTGAGGGTACTCTTGACAGAAAGTCCAGCAGCTCATTGTTATCAATGGTGTAAGGGTCTCGCAGCTTCTTGGTGAATTTATTTATCCCTGTAGAAGAAATAATAGCAGAAGTATTTAGAGAAAATATGGTAATAGATAACTGATATTAACACATAATTGAACTTCTTAATAAATACTCTACTGTATTTTGGACTCAGTAATTACACTTTGCTCTGTTTCTCCAACACAAACAAATTAACAAAACATGGGACTAAAACAGAAACCGCATCAGGATTTAACATGTTAATTTTGGTACTGGTGCAATTTCTAATCACAAAATGAAATTAGCTCACCCCAGAGCAGCACAATGAGCCGTAGAGGTATGAAATAAATGATGACGGTGGCCACGCCGAGAGCCACGATCGCAAGCCAGCTTAAGAAAGGCACAGTCCAGTTAAAGGTGCTGCAAAAAGATGGGAAGTGGTTGAAATTAGCAGACAGTGGAAAATGCTATTCCAACTACATTTGATTTTTAAAAAAGCAACATCCAAATTTTACAGTTTAACCTTTTTTTGGTTGAAATCAGTTTATGGCTCTCTACACTATTTAATGCAGGAGTGTTTAATCTTGGTCTTCGAGTGCCACATTCATGCATGTTTTAGATGTTTCTCTGCTCCAACACACCTGATTTGTATCAATGGGTTTCAACAGGTTTCTGCCGAACATGAAAAGGTAATTTAATCAATAAATTAGGTGTGTTGGAGCAGGGAAATCAATAAAGCATGCAGGATAGTGACCCTTGATGACCAGGATTGGACACTCACAAACAGTCTATGCATAAATCTAGGTTTTGCTGAATGCCAGGTTACTGGTGCATTGAAACAAATTATGCTCCTTAGATATTTCCAAATGTTAAAAAGTCTGCCTGTTGGTTCAAAAGTGTCTGGTGTTTGTGTATGTGTAGATATGTGGTGATAAGCTTAAAGATTTACTAAAAACATTATGCAGAGCTGAGTGAGATCTGATGAACATTAAGACAGACGGCCTTTGTGTTTGTGTCTCAGGGTTAGTCGTCACACTGGCAGGATTTCCTGAGAGTAGCACTGAGTTACACTCAGTTAGGCTGGCAGAAAGGATACAGAACCAGCCTGGCAACGCAGGGAAAATAAAACTCCTGGGACATGTGAAGCAAAGCAAAAGGAAGCGGGCTAGGTGCCGAGGAGCCAGCTTACGACTCACTTCTTTATCCTCTCGCCATAGGAGGCCACTTCATCCAGTGCATTCTGCACGCTGATACACACGTCCTGAATGGCATAAAGCTTGGTCATGAAGCCCTTTTTCTCTGAGTCCTGCAAGGAGACAGATAGAGATGTATGCAAGCAAAGAAGAAAGCAAGGACGAGGGAAAAGGAAATGTGGATGGACAGAAGAAGAGACAAGAAGAGAGAGAAAGAGGAGAGCGAAGACAGAGGCTGGGCACAGGCATCTTTGTGAGAACAATGCACTTTAAATAGCTTTGATTTGGAGAGAGGAGCCAAATCACCGGATATCCTGCACAAAGTGACGGAGCGCTTTCATTCCAAGCTATAGAGGCTATTCCAGGCTATAAAGATATAAAGTTGGCAGAACAAATCAAAATGTTTTTCTCCTTACAAATGCTCACAGGAAAATTTAAATATGTGAATAAAGAGGCAGAATTACACCGAGAGTCGAATGGATACATCAATCTTTGGGCTTTCCTTCTTTCTTTCTGTTCCTGCCAAGGCAGCTATAGGAACCGGGCAGAGTGCTCTTTTGTTCTGCTGGCTGGCTCACTGTGATGATGTCACCAGCAATGACATCATTATTATCCATATTAGCTCAGTCAACCACCATGAACGAATCTTTCTTTTCAACTTTTGATGGCTGTGAACTTTAAAAGGGGCAAGAAACCATAAAACTAGACTGTTCATCTAATGTCTATAAACTTCACTTCTCTTGTAGAAATAAAACGAAGGATTCAAGAAGTCATGCAACAGTCAACAAGCTGCCTGCTGAGTGACGGGCAGGCAGGGACAGGACAGATCTGGACACAATGAGGCGATCAAAAGCCACAGGCTGACTGAGGACATCAACACGCAGACTGTCTGTTGGTAGATGTGGTTGGTGGGCATGCTTGGGAAACAAAAGGAAGAATGTTTTAGGATATTTTGAATGTAATATGATTGATTTTCAATGTAAGACTTGGCATGTTTGGAAAACTTTGACCATCCAGTGCTGATATTGTAAATGAGTCTTGTAAATGAGTCCTCGTGACTCAGTGAGACTAACCTGTATAAATAAAGGGTGAATGATGTACTGTAAAAGTACCTCAAACACTTTGAAGAAGAGAAGAAATAAAACATTAAAACCTGTGTAAATGAACAACCTTGCATGTTATTGATGAAGATGATGGATGCTGTTAGATGAGAGTCATAAAGTCCTGAGTAATTCTGCCATTACGACTTTGAGGACAGTGAACCAATCAAAGACATGAAACCCTCATGCAGGATCTCAAAGACCTTTCCTGCATTTCGCTCAAAGAGTCCAGCCACCTCACCACAACCCTCCCAATGAGACCCCAAACTGCCCCCACCCCACCCCAAACCCACCCTCTTCTTTTTGCTCTCCATCCAAGATCAGATAATGTGGAAAATGAACCGTGGAGCAGTCACGGAGACCACATGGCCTCCCCAGCAAAACCACACAAGACAAATAGATATAATTAGACAACCTCTCTGGGTTATTTTTCTTCGAAAATATTTTACAAGACTCCCTTTCTTTCCTCCTCCTGCTCTCCTGCTTCTCTCGTTCTTTTCCTTAGACTCCCATCTGTTTTTCATTGCTGGCTCAAACAAATCTCAGAGCGCCGTGTCTATTGTGCTGGGCTTGGTTAGGCTGGGCCGAGCAGGGCTGGGTCAGGACGTTTTATTTTTGAGCCCAGACTCAAGGGAGAGTATTTGGGAGCCATGGGAGTGGTGTGAGAGAGTGGCTGGGGGTGGAAAGGATAGGTCAGGGGTCCTTGGTGTATAAACTATTGCCACATGCCCTTCGGACTACGGTCTGACTTCTATTTCCTGTCTTCAAACAGGGCTTGGGGAGGCAGGAGGTAACAATAATACTGAGGGCCACGAAGAACCTTGTTTTCCCAGCTTCCCGGCACACTGGGCACATATGGAGTCAGGCAACCTGTTTCTATAATGGAACCTAATATGCACACAAACACACATACACACCCTACAGCTATTAGATAAGGTTGATCTGCACACCTGGTCTTGCTGTGTGACTCTACAATAATACCACATCCCGACTCACTGTGGAAAATGGGAGACTTGTAAAAGTAGCCCCATTTTCCATGTCGGAAGTTTGTTTTAAAGCACAGGAAAATAATCTAGAGTCAGGAACAAAGAAAGATACGCCCTTCATAAGTCAGATAAACTTTGTTTTGCCCTAATTATTTTACAAACAGGTGAACTATTTGAATCAGTAAACTTTATAGAAGACTCATTTCCATGCCCTCTACATTGGATCCATCACTATGGCACAATAAGCTTTGTTCCTGTGTCCTGATGCATGCTCATGCTTTGTTCCTGTGGTTTTTGTGGATGCCAACTACGAGCACACATGTACTGCAGTTTTCCAGTCTTAAGCTTTTTTCTCATTCAGGAGAAACAGCAAAGCCATTACAGAGACCTAAGGCTCCATCATTGCAACAAAGTGCATCAGTTTGAAGACCTGAACATTGGACTATTACCAGAAAAATCAGTGCAATCACCTGACAGATAATGTAATAAGCTTAATGTGCTTAGCTTCATAAATTAAGACAGATTACTATTGCAGGTTCATATGTGTGCGTGTTGCTGACATTTTGAAGTAACTGCCAGTGCTGTTTGCATGCACCAAAATTTTAATGTAGACAAACATCAAAACATGTAAAATCCTTTAAAAAATACATATTATATTTTTCTCCTTCATAGCCAAAAAAAGGACCAACCAGACTATGATGTGAGCTCAAGCTAAAGCCAGCAGAGCTTACTACAACCTTACTACATTACAAAAAATATAAAACCAATGCAATAAAACAGTTTATTCTGTGATTGGAAATGATTTTGTTTGGAGAAGAAACTCTGACATCAATTAACTCTCATCAGGCTGGTAGCAGGAATATTCATTGTGTCTGGTGTCCTCTGTTGAGCGAGACTTACTTGTTTTAATTGCATGCGTGCCATTTAAAGACAATAAGTGCATCTTTTGTGGTTATGTCCAAAGTTTGCATCATTGTTTGGATGCGTAGCATCTGATAAGAAATCCCTGCCAAGCCCTCATCGCTTTAGCAGTGGAAACGCTCGTTAGGAGGATGAGAGTTGTTTGCATGCGTTTCGGAAAAATAACCCTCAGTGATACCGAAGAGAGCCCAGGGACATACACTCACACACACATGTACAAAGAAAACAGCCAAGTCAGTCTAACCACACTGCGCTGGTAAATTGTGGTAAACAAATGTGGTAAACTCCTTGAAACACTTGATTAAATATTTAACAAAAGAATGTGTAGTGCCTGTGAGTACTCAATGCTCTAGTTATTCCAGTGAGATGCCATCATGGCAACGCATACTTACTTTCAAGACTTTAAACTTTGCAAAGACAGTTTGCTCTTCACTGACCCAAGGCCTACAGCTAAACAAGACAGAGGTCATTGAAGACTTTGTTAGTATGGACTCAAATATCTGTCCTACATATACTGGGTGGAAAAGAAGTGAGCCAATTGAGACCATTTTAACCTCTGATCCCATTGTTCTCCCTGCTGGGTTATACCATAAAAATGATAAACCTAACAGTTATAAGGTAGCAGCGTACATCCCATCACACGAGGAAATGAGTCTGAACCTCAAGTGACTGCTGCTCATTGCTACTGTGCTAAAATTGCACCTGTTTTTCTTTGTTTTGCATCCCTCAGTCTGGCAGCGCTGTAAAAATTGAAATGTCATATAAAACGTGACAGCATGCTAATATGTGGCTCCCAGAGGGCATCTGAAAGCGCTGTTGTTGATTTTGTAACTGCAGAGAGAGTCGGTATTCCTCCCGTTTCCAACCTCACTATAGTAGAGACATGAATTCAATTTCCCCAAATTTGTGCAAGAACTCGAATTCACACAAATTCAAACCGTAAATATTATTGTCATCCTCTGCTTTATATGAAACTTGCTCCTTTCTTTTTTCTGAATGTAATCCAGCATGACATTAAACTGTTTCATTTAACAACAGATTATTTTGGCTGAGTAAATAGACCTACACTACACAGCCCTTTCTGATGGAGCTTTGGCTTGAACCTACAACCTTGGGATTGCACGACTGTGGCACTGACCACCAAGCTACTGCAGCCCCAGACCTCAATATGTTATTGATATAATTAATGCTGTGGCAAGGATAAATCCTATGTAAACATGTAATTTGGGATTTTTCTCCTGGTAAATGGTCACTTTTTTTGTAGCCCTTTTTTAACCTCTCCACATTCTGATTTACAGAGTTTCTCATTCACCTATTTACACACACTTACACACACGTATGTTGCTCTCTTTTATTAACTTCTATTATTACATTTTCAACCTTGTCTGGATAAAAATACATTGTATCACAGAGCAAAGAACAAACTCAATCACACAACCAGCAAAGGTCAGCTCCTTGTCTGACGAAAAAATTCTAGTTAATATTAAACCACAAGCTCCATACCAAGACTTAATCAAACAAAACTCATCTGTACGCTGCTGTACCAGAAACATACTAACCTATTAATAAAATATATAGGTGCTCATTACTAAAGTTAGATTTTAGACAGATTCTACTGAGACTCTACTGGATGTGCATTTACAACTGAGTGACTTTTGAAGTCAACCTGGTTCAAGATTGTCAAATGGATGCAAAAGTGAGTTACTGCTAAAAGGATAACCTGTAGAAACAATTTCTTGCTGGGTTATTTATTGCAAAAAATACATCAGTATTTCTTATTGTGAATGTCTTAATTTCCTAGAGAAAAACGACTTATTTGTAAAGCAGCTTTTCTCTGTATTTTTTCTATCATTGTGAAAAATCCAATACTGTTTTATGACTGACATTTTGGCAGTGAGTCAAATGCAGTATGGAGCATTTTCATTTTATTTCCCCCCTTTAGATTGTTTAACAGGTTCCAACACTGATGTTTCACTGGTGAATATTCCAAGTATTACTAACTCTGGGGAGCAATAAGCCACATATTGTATAAAATGGGTGTTAAAAGTGGCCCTTCAAGGGATTTAAAAAAGGCACTTAGGGACCTGGCCTAAAAGAGCATCTCTCCTTCGTCAGGAAATGACGAAAAGACTCCGTGTAAAAGCCTCAGATAGAAACATACAACTTGGCACCTCTCCAGTGCCACATGATAGAGGCAGATGTTCAGAGTTTTTTTCAATAGATAATTTATCCCATACATCTTTTTCCCCTCCCTCTCTTTTTTATCAGAACACATAAATATCTGTTTAACTGGGGGTATTGAGATGCACAGCACATCCTCTTGGCTTTAAAGACGCAACTCTATGGAAAAAGAGCATCCCACTTCTGCAGACGAAAACAAAGGAGCGTGAGATTAGAGCGTACATTGAATGTACGTTACCAAAAACTGTATATGAGCGAAATGTTGCTCGTGTACAACAAAGTCAAACTACAGTTAAGACTGTCAGCTGAAGGTGGGTCACTCACACACACACACAAAAAACACTGCCCACTGGTAATTAGTCTATTCACTCAGTCAAGTCCCACAGCGAGGATAAATATATACATATGTAAAAAAGAAGGATGGAGGGAGAGAGAGAAAGAGGGATTAGAAGGAAAAGGTGGTAACTTCTCTTCTGTTTGACCTCTGCTTTTAATCATAAAGACAAAAGTTTCTTATGGTGCATGTGTGTGCGCGTGTGTGTGTGTGTGGCTTCTTATCACCTCCACCACAGCGGCTGCGATATCAGGCTCAAGGTCACGCGTACACTCACGCATAAACGACTGCCGCAACACAACTTCTGCTCCTGATCACCCTTCCCACCCCTCCTGCTGCACAGCACCCAACCCCCCCACCACCACCCCACCCACCACCACCCACCCTGCCTCACCTCTGTTCCTCTGCTCCTGCACTCTCCTTCCCCTGTCCTTTCCATGATCCAGCATGGCGGGGTGTGATGAATGGGACGTTATTACTCTTGTCTGCCGCTGGCCTGATTTTAGCTGCCCATCCACCTCTCTCTGTCTGTCTTTTTGGGCTTAAAATACACACCGCTGCACAACTGTAACGCTTTTTTTTTTTTGCCTGCCATTATGAAAGGTGGGCGATCATGTAATTGCTTGTGCAATTTGTCGGTCTGTTAGCTGAATACTTCAAGAATGAGAAGATGGCTTTTAATGAAACTCTCAAGATGTAATCAATCAGCGCACATCTAAAACCGATCAACTTTTGGGGTCAATCTAATTCAAGACGGCAGCCACAGTGAATCAAACGTAAGCAACATAAAAACAGTTATATTTCAGGTAACTTTACACGTACTGTGCTAAAATCTGTTGTAGCAGCTGAAAGTCATCCCCAACACAAACTCAAAGTGCAAAACTTTGGTGAGAAGGTGGCATGCTGTCTTCAAGAAATGCTAGTCTTGTTTATATATTCTTTTACATTTTAAAATGTGCAAAAATTAGATACGTGCAAGACATTTGCTATTTTTTTTTTAAAGAATAGATGTATACCATATCCTTGTTGGGGCTAAATTACAAATATTTCACCACTTCCGTCTCTAAAACTGACTAACTTTGGCACAGCTTTAATTACATATGCATGCTAAGAGACACACAAGCAGTGGAGACAGATGTAAAATCCACAGTGTTAAACTTTGTTTTGGAAGGAATAAAGATAAAAAAAAATAAAACAATAGAACGAGAGTGCATTGCCATGAAGTAAAGGGGATCACTTCTTCAAAAAGTAAATAAAATATGCATCCTCTCTGTGCTCATTACAGATTTATGACTCTTGTTAAAAGAAAAGGTGGCGGCTGCCTCCTTACATGTCTGACTTTCAAATTCAGACGACACTGCTGTCAAGTGTTGTGCTCCATATTCTGTCCAATGAGAGACCGAGAGGGCTGCGTGTGTGTGCCATCTCAGCGAGAGTCTCGAAGAGATTTACTTTGGGTGGATGAGAGCGCGCGAAAACTCCTCACCTACAGTACAAGGAGCGCACTCCTTTGATGCATAGTTCATCAATGGAAAAGTTCAGCTGGTTCAGCCACTTGTCTGTGTGTGATTAAGAACAATAAGACTTGGGGGAGTAGACATTGTTGCATTATGCAAAAAGAAAGAGCACTGGGATTTGCTCTGACAATATGAGGTAGATTTGCTGAAGCAACTAGAACAAAAAAAAGAAGCACCCAAAACCACGTTCAAGTCCCCCACCAGCTGCTATACACACAAACACACACTCAAGAAAGTTATAGGCATTTGAAAAATTATTTGTTATTAGTCGCTTATAGGATTCATAATATTTAAAAAGATTATTATAAGTGAGAATGATGTAATTGATGCTTTAAACGTGAAACTAATTGGTTAAAATGCAGACTATATCAGTACACTTTTATTGCTCTTGTTTTCTATATTAAATGAAAAAATAAACTCAAGTGACTCCTGATGTCACATTTCATTCCAGCAGAGACAGAAGTCCCCAAACACAGTAAACACACCGTCAAACCCCAGCCTACAGCTGTCACCTTGCACTTTACCAGATCTGCAGCGCTACAGGGATGTCACACAAAAAGACAGGAGCAGCTTTCCATGCTGGAGCTCACTTAGCTTCCCCATCACCTTAAAGAGCAGGCACAGGCATGGCCCCTGCAGCAGGTTTGGACAGGGTGGGGGATGGGGCGCCGAACGTGCAGTGCGTGGGTTTTTAACTGAGACACGGACAGGGGACAGTTACTGCACACAAACCCTGACGGGACGGCGAACAGAGGCCGCTGGACAGACGATGAGCTAAAATAGCAAACTGGGAGACAGCGACACACACCAGCAGGAGTCCGTGCCAGAGCCACACACATGTCCAACTTACCACCATCGCTCGTATCCACTCAAAGTGCCAGGAAGCCAACATATCCTCGAGGATATGGTTATTATCACGGCTGTCCTCCCAGGGCTCTGGTTTAGGATCCTTGTGGATAAATTACAGTAAGAGGTTCTCTTTTTACAGTAGAAATTTAAACGAGTGTTACACAATGTCCATGTCGAGCGTGGTAATTTAGGCCAAATACTACAAACAGTTTTAGCCTTGTAATGTAGGAAAGAAAAAAAACATTTATTTTACTCACCTTTAGACTTTGAATGGCTTTAGAAAGTAAAAATTAAATATATTCCAAATTGTGTACGGTTTGCATTTCTTTGAGCGTATTAAGCTTTTGCAACCAACTAATCAAAATAAGACAAAAATGCAAAACAGTTATGACCATTTATTTCAAATAACGATGGTCTCTGGCAAATGAAAAGTGAGGCAAAAACAGCAAAGAGGCAGAGAATGACAGATAGCGAAAGACAAAGCAGGAGATATGTATCTGGGGGAATAGAGATGGTGAAAGATGAGCCATCCGATGCATGTAAGCAGTAAAGATGGAAAAACAAATAAACAATGTAGTGTGTTTTGCATAGAGAGACAATACCACACTTCTTTCACCCTCTTTTTTCTGTTCTCATTCCTTCCCCTATTAGCCAAGCATGATTAAAATGCAGTTCCTAGCAGCATCTCTGCCGAACAGCAGAAAAAAAGACAGCAAGATGGGAAGAAAAATGAAGCGGATGAGTCAAAAGCATCTTTTACAGCGTGACGCTTTTCATCCTTCACGGACGGCACGAAGAAAAGAACGCAGACGTTCAACTTTGTTTTTTTGTTTTTTCTTCCTCCCTCTTCCTCACACTTCTATTCTCCTCTACAACTAAAACCTCTCGACACCTGAAGACAACCCCTCTGCATCGCAAGCTCAATAGGCTCCCCAGAACAACATTTCAGTCACGTTTATTTTTTATTTTCTTCTTTGGGTATTACAATTCCCAGCGCTCTCTTTAGTCCAATTACACTGTACCATTTCTCTATCTGAGCAATCGGCACAGTGCTGTGACTGGGGCCGAGAGAGAAGAACTGAAGCTGCACAGATCCTTTGAATATCTGATAATAAGGCTGAACATTCACACTGTTTTTAATCATAATCACACTCGGACACTAAAAAAAACTTTATACCCATTGTTGTACACAAAAAGACAAAACTAAGATATGAATGCACGGACAACATCCATGATGAAAACCCATACTTTTCAGAAAATTATAGCTAAACACACATCATAGATTGTCTGTTAGCATAGGCACATGTGTGTGCAGAAGTTGTCTACAAGCAGCAAATAGTGCAAGCTACTGTCTGAGCAGTATAAATGAGCAGAAATCATCTAATTATCTCGATTCTTTCTTGTGTGCACAAGCGACCAATCAATAAGACAAAAAGATCCAAGTTATTTTTTAGTTTTTAGTAAGGTTCGAGGTTCTTTGTTGTCATTCGCATCACATGTGGTACATGAGGTGGGACGAAATTGTATACTCAAGGTCCCAGTTACACGCAAAAATATAAAGTATGTGAAAGAAACAGTATACAAGGATCTAAGACATACACTAAACAATAATACAATAATATAATACGGTGTATTAAACAGCAGCCTGAACATGAGTCTGTTGTGAGCAGATGGGTATGAATATAGCAGGTTATGGGTAAGAAATCAGCAGCATGGATAATCAGCAGCACAGATAAAGTGTCAAATCTCCATTTAAAGTGACATTACAGTGAATATCCTGGTTAGGGATTAATGAGTCTAACAGCCTCAGGGTATAAGCTGTTCCTCAGTCTAGTGGTTCTACACTTAATGCTCCTCAACCTTCTGCCCGAGGGAAGTGGGGTAAAAGTGTGTGCGCAGGGTGAGTGTGGTCCTTCATGATGCAGGTGGTCCTCTTTCTGCATCTGGAAGTGTAGATGTCTGTGATGGTGGAGAGGCTGACTCCAGTAGGCTTCTGTGCAGCCTTCACCACTTTCTGCAAAGCTTTTCTTTCTGCAGCTGTGCAGCCTCCATGCCACACGTCGATGCTGGAGCACAGGATGCTCTCCACTGCACACCGGTAGAAGGAGGTGAGGACTGAGCTTCCCAGTCCAGCTCGTCTCAGCCGCCTGGAGGAAGTAGAGTCTCTGATGAGCTTTCTTGATCAGGCTGGTGGCGTTGTTGCCTCAGCTGAGGTTGTTATTCAGGTGCACACCCAAGTACAGTAGTCCCTCATTTATCGCGGGGGATCTGTACCCTGAAGCCCCGCGATAAGTGAAAATCCACAAAGTAGGAATAGGCATTTTAAATCCTTCCCACCCTCTTGCAATATTCTAAACAATGTTTCTAAACTCTAAAGCTCTAAAAGAGCACAGCATGTCATGATTTCAGCTCTCTGCTTCGTCTGCTCTTTGTCACCTGCAGGGGCTCTTGGCCACGTCCACTTCTTCGCTCTGAATGGAGAACAGCTGATCAGCAGGAAGCTTATCCTGCAGCTCTGGGCTGCACTAATGTGCAGCAGGTACTAAATAATTGAAAATATTTTATTTTAAATAAAAATTCCTAGCTGATCGTGTGGCTCATCCATCAATCAGCCAACCGTGTGTCATGTCCAATCCTATTCTGAAAAACCGCGACAGAGCGAGTTTGCAATAAACGAACCGCAAAGTAGAGAGGGACTACCGTATTTGTAACTGGAGACCACAGGGGGTAGGTGTGTTTGCTCCTTCTGATATCCACAATAATCTCCTTCATCTTCTTCACATTGATGTGGAGGTTGTTCTTCTTGCAACAGCTCTCCAGGTGTTCCTCCGGCATGTAGCTGGACTCATCGTTGTTTGTGATGCATTCAACCACTGCTGTACCGTTTAAAACTTTACAGTATGACAGCCTGGATGGGCAGGTGCTAGGGGTTGAACCGACTGGTCGACTAGGCAATTTTAGGACATCTCGCGATTTTTTTTTAAATTTCATGTTGACTAGTCGCGGAACTAAAAATGGGGGGTGGGTGGTGGTGGATGGATTAAATTAAATAAAACTAAAAACAGTGGGGCGCCCCACTGTTTTGAGGTTTTTTTTTTTACATGCTGCACGTTTTTTTCACTTTTGCAGCTTAATAATAGTTTTGGTTTTCCTGTGACTTATTTACAGTATGATAAACGGTAGGAGCATAAATATATGCTCCTGATGTATTAGTTTTATGTAAATAATAAATTACATTTTTTGTGAATAAGATATAGCGTCTTGAGTTCCTTTGACGTCACATTGACTAGTCGATTCGACTTTATCGTGATGAAGTTGACTTAAAAATATATGAAGTTGTGCAACCCCTAGGTGCACAGTCATATGTGAGCAGAGTGATCAGGAGGGGGCTCAACACACAGCCCTGAGCCTTAGTAGCCTTTAATGCTGATAATTACATTCAAACTCACTTTGCTGTCACTCAAATTTCCACGTCAGCAATTCTCATTATCAAAATCTGACAATTTACTTGGAAATGTTTTTACATTTTTGCTTTCCTGGTCAACAACCAGCTTGAGTAATGGCCGCCAAAATGTGGAACCTGATCAACTAATAATATAACAATTTAGTCATGTTACTTCAGAGAACGGATCAGTTTTACAAGAACAGACCAGTGTTAGAAAATCATATAGGCCATATGCATTAGAGAATCTGTTAAGGTAGATTTTTTTTAAAGAAAGTTGTAAAGAACATCTTGCTATGAACACAAGTTGTTGTGTTACTCTACAATATTTCAATGAGAAATGCTTCACCAACTTCACTTATTTAATTATAAAACTAATGTGTAATGCCAAAAGCTCATACATCTTATACATATGTATAAATTATAAAATTAGCTGCAATGCTGCCTTAATAGCCCTCTCTGTAAGTACATAAAGTAAAAACAGATTAATACTTAAACCCCCAAAAAACTAAAATCTGAACGTTTTCAGGAATTATATCCATAAAAAAAAAACATTGAAATACTATCAGAAACCCAACATTTTTCAAGTGATTGTGTTTAAACTCTGCAAAAATGGGTCCTCTTCTTCCACAATGAGGAGAAATTTCACGAGAAATGGGAGAGGAAACAGTTTTTGTAGGTACATGTGTGTGAGGGAGATATTGATAGATATCCACACTGCGAGAAAAGGAGAGGGGGTGCAGCAAGCAGTAAGCCCCTGAGCAGGACATGATTGCAGTGTGTATCTTATCTGTGTCAGGTCCTCCTGAGGCTAGTGGAGCCTAGCTGAGCGGAGCACAAGCGCTTCAGTGACCAGTCAACCGTGTGAGGGTAATCTCCCCACTCCTTCAGTCTGCCTCTCTCTCTCTCATTCATTCTCTCTCTCCCCATTTTTCCAGTAAGACCCCTTGTGGGAGGTGGCTGAGCTGCACACTCACAGATGTGAGACGGTCACACAAACGGACAAACACATTTACGCACACACAGCCGATAGGTGATTGTGTCCTGCCAGCTCTGGACAGCAAGCCCACAGGTGAGAGGAGACATCATTGGCAAGATTACACACTGAACGCCCAGCAGCCAGCAGCAGCCTGTAAATACAGGAATGTTATCACCCTCCAATCTCAAGCTGGATGTAAAGATGCAGAAACTGTCTCTCTAGTGGATGAGCAAATCTTCTTTCTTAAATATGGCATTTAAAAGAAAATCCTACAACATTCATCTATCATTACATTTAAATAATTTAGACCGTCCTCCCAAGCTTTTTCTTCCACATTTACATTTTTCTAGACCAGGGGTCTGCAACCTTTACTATCAAAAGAGCCATTTTCACACCTTTGTTCACTAAATTAAAAATGTTTAGAGCTGCAACAACCTGCTACAACTGTGATTATTAACTGGTGACAGGGGTTATATTATAAAGCTAAAAATATGTATTTTCAGGTCTCTCTTGTAAATGAGTCCTCGAGGCTCAATGGGATTTACCTGTCTAAATAAAGGTTGATTGATTGATGTAATGATTTTTAACATTTATTGATATTTTTACAATTTAAGACAAATGAAAAGCAGATTTTTTTTTTATTAATAAAAACTATGAAACATGCAGACCTAATTATTATTTTTTTAATTATGGAAAAATTAATTAAGTATAGAAATAAAGCAGAAAGTCAAAGTGAGCATGTTTTACTCCTTATACTAGTTCCAGTATTCACATATTTGCAAAGGAAACAACAGAAAAACTGCTAAAACTAGTCCTTTTTGGTTGTTGTTTGTATATAACAACCAATAAAATTCAGTTTTATGTTGGTTTTGATCAAAGCTTGAAAGAGCCACTTGAAACATACTGAACCATCTGATGATAAAGGAAATAGATGAGACGAATAATACGAATTGTTATCTGCTAATAAATTATGTGTTGATATAAAAAAAAATTATGTAACATAACTTGAAATAGGTGGTGAAGGAATCAATGAGAAGACTGAAAACAGGAAGACATTTTTGCTTTACTGCTTTACTGATACATTTACATTAGTTAAGACAAATATATAATTTAATGTTCAAAACACTCAAGAAAAAGAAAAAGAAAAAGAAAGGAACCATTATATTATGCTGTTTTGTTTTACATAAAGCCTATTTTGATAATTCTCCACCTTTTTTGTATATTTAAAGGTGAACAGTGAACAGTATGTTTGTGTGTAGGCGACACAAATCAAGGAACATTCCACGCTGTAGGTCAGCACACACACGTGCAGCAGGAAACAGGGGAGGAGAAGTGAAAAGAAAAATTAGTTCACGTGTACCCCCCCCCCCCCCCCCCCCAACCACCACACGCTTCATGTGCCTGCCTTAAAGCCTGCTTGGCTTTAACAACTCAGCCGTCCCAATCAATTAGCCTGAATGCTGGACTTTCATTGAGATTAAGTGACTAATATCAGTGCTTGCTCACGAAAAAGACACTTTTCACGTCTGCCCAACAATCTGTTAAGTCAAAACACATGTGGTAAGCTGAGGCTAAAAGCCTGCTAGGGGTCCTCTCTGCAATGAAAAACAGGTGCTCCATTTTTTGGCCATGCAATACCCTATTTAGCCTCTGGAGCAAAGGTTATCCAGCTAATAGCTGCCTTGTGGTGCACTGGGAAGAGCTGTGCACATGGCCGAAGTAAACATCTGGGACAGATTGTACATACTTGCAACATATGCTTCAAGTTCAATTAAAATGAGGCCTTGGCACATTTATTAATCTTTTTTCCCCTCTCCTCTCTCTTGCTCTTACTGCTCTTCCAACTCTCCCCTATAGGTCTGTCCCATAAAAGAGGCCTCCTTTGACCCGTCCTTCATACTTACTCGTACTATCTGACGCCATAGCTGCCGTCCTGCGTAAAAGACCTCACATCCAATGTAAAAGACAACTTTGCTTAGCCTTCAAACCCCATTTGTTCTGCACTTAACCAGGTTGGAGGACGAGGAAAGGGAAGAGAGAGCGAGAAAGAGTTTATGTCAGAAAGGAAGAATGAAAATGCAGGAAAGGAGTTGATTGAGGGAAGGAAAAAAGGCATGTGTGGGGAGAGGGAGATGTAGGCGAGAAAGAAAAAAAAGAAGAGAAGAAAAATAGCCCCCTTTCAACCTCCCTACAGCTTAAATAAAATGCTAACAGTCAAGGGGAGCAATAGATCAAAATGTATGAAGTCAGAGCTGGTAAATTGTAGTCTTTGTGGTAGCTCTGCTATCCAGCATCCCAGCCCTGTGTGAACAGAGAGCAAGGCCTTCTTATTTGGAATAATCAGTTAGGCACCAATTCTGACTAGGGCCACGCAAGCTGCTTCTACACCTCATTTCAATATAAAAGTCCTAAATGTATTTCATATAATCTGTCGCTTTTCAAATGCCTGTATCCCTTTTTTTTCCCTAAGAGGAAGTAAGAAATGCAATGGAAGAGAAAAGATGTAAAGAAAAAAAAAGAAGTTCAAGGTTGCCTGGTGCATATCTTCAGCCTCTGGCCCCCCTCCTGCACATTACAGAACTTCACAATCATGGAACTTTGCTTCTACATCTCTGTGGGAGAGGCTGTAATGTTCACATATCTTTGTGTGCTCATCACCAAACAGGCAGCCAGGCTGACTGACTGACTGGGATGATTATTTGACCATGTGCATTATAAATGTGTGTTTTTCTAACCCTTTTTGCTAAACACATCCCTGTTTGCTTTGTAGTAAATTCAGCCTCCAGTATTCCTGATTGCTAAAGGCACTTTACAAATACCAGTACATACAGTACAGTTGCAGTGCTCTTTTGGGAATTTTCCTTCCAAAACACTGAAAGGATCACATCACCTGGAAATTGCTGAAGCCTGCGTTGAAGTCCTTATATCATGAAAAGTTTTAACCAGTGGTGTAGTCAACATTTTTGTAGTGGGTATACTGTGCTTAGAAAATAAAGTACACTGGTTAGTACAATGTAATCGTCAATTTATTTTGATTTTAAAGCATAATGAACATTTCCAAATTTCTCTGATACTTATATTTGAATAAATGAACAAGGACAACTCTTTGATTTGTATTAAAAACATGTTATAGAATTTATAAAACAGTATCAAAACAAAACATGTTCAAATATTAAGTAGTAAGTACAGAATTATACAACAATTCAATGGATAAGCAAATGTAATAAACAAGCTGCATAAAGATAGATTGTTACGGAAGCGTTTATCTGCCGTTTAACGTATCAGTGACACGTGCCTAATGATATGTTACGTATCACTGGGCACTTTTTAATGGGTATACTGAGATTTGCGTATCGCGTAGACTACACCACTGGTTTTAACGGTAAAAGATTCAGACTTCCCTGCCTACACGTAACTCTTCTTAAAACACTCTAATTTCAAAAGTAACACACAAAAAGCACAACACATTGACTGGATAAAGAGTTAGACCATTTCAATTACCACCCCCGAGTGGACCATTGACAAGGTACTGTACCCTTTCCAGTGGCATTTGTTTCAGTAGCTGTTCCTGCAGCGTTACGAGCTGAGGCCGTAAAGTAGCCACCTGTTGTTACCTGATAGTGTCTGGACAAGCCCAGATGCTGTTTTACTGGGACATAAAGACAAACTGAATGGACCTAAATCGCTAACTAAGCACTTTATACGAGTGCATGTTCCCAGGAAGAAGGGTATGAAGCACGGTGTGAGAAACACAAATTCAACATAGCAGCGCAAACATGAAAATATAAGGATAGTGTTGCAACTACATAAAAAAAACACCTCAAACAAACTGCAAGGTTGAAAGGTGAGAAATGTGCTGTGGATATTCCTACAGAGAAAACTTTTTTAAAAAGGTTAAAAGGTTGTACAATCTGTGAACATGTGTTTGTGCCTCAGGCGGTGAGAATGAGCAGAGGAGGGGGGAAGACGGAGTCATTTCGTTAGTCTGTTTGTGTTTCTGGTCTGCGAAGCCGTGTCGACCCCTCCTGAGGCTGTTGTGTGTTTGTGTGTCCCGGACATGAAACATAATTACCTTGTCATCTTTGTCAAAATCCTCATCCTCATCTTCCAGCAGGTCCTCCACTGCTTGCTGATAGATCCAGAAAGAAGAGAAGAAGAAAAAAAATAAAGAATAAAAACATTTCAATATGAGATAAATGTTAGATAAACATTATCAGACGAGCCAAAGCGGCACATTAAAGCTGATTGGTTATGCTTATGTTTGGCTAAAGTTTAGTAATGAGTGTGGAGAACATGAAGATATCCAAGCAAGGATTTCTGATTACTTTATGTCACAGGCTTCAGATCTGTTCTGAAGTAGAATTTTAATTTAGAAACGTTTTGTTGTTCGAACATGTTGACACTTTTAGGCATGCAAGCAAATAGTCCGGCGCTGAATTTCAGCAGGCTAGGGATTAAAACCTTTTCATCTACACAAATCAAAGAGCAAAGAAGTATTTAAACCCCACTATGTTTGTCTGAGAGGGAATATCTTCTGGCTCTGCTCTGTCTCCTCCGACCCCCTTAACCTTTGCACCCATTTGCCTCCTGTACATTCACCTATCTTGTTTTTTTTACGTCCTCCACCAAAAAGACGCTCTGTGAGAGGAAAAAAGAAGAGCGCTCTAAGCTCAGAGTGAAAGTCTCAAAGAACGACAACTATTTGCTTCAGTGAAGCACAACCGATGAAACTGGAGTTACTTCGAAGCCCCGAGACACCCCGAGACAAACGGTGCAGCATGAAGAAAAATCGCTTGCCTTGAAACACAATCGTATACACACATTCAAAACAACAAGCAACACCCCGCTGGTGCAAAGAAGTTCCAGTTTTTCTTTTTCTAAATTGAAAATTTTACATGCACAGTTCATTCAACCTTTATTTATACAGGTTAGTCTCACTGAGCCTCGAGGACTCATTTACAGGAATTTTAAACAAAGAACACAGATGGGGTACAGACAACAATAAACAATCATATAAAAAGCATATAAAATGAAAAGTAAAAAAGAAGAAATTATATAAAAAGCAAAACAAAAACTGCTACATTATAAAGCGGTGTAAAATACTAAAAACGGGAACATGTCTGCGTTGGTTTTTGCCATGAACAGATGTTTAGGCTTAAACTGCTGGAGGACAAACTGACTACCTTTCTTCACTCTGCTACTGTCTTTACTTACTCTGCTCAACCTGTTTTGTATTTGTAGTTATCTTTTCTATCCTTGACATGCTATTTTTGTCTTCCAACAGGAGGTACACCTGCACCTACATCTGGACCTGGCATTCTGTGTCTGTTTCTCCTTCCTGTCCTCTCAAACCCAGCCGGTTGAAGCAGATGTCCGCTCCTCCTGAGCCTTGTTCTGCTGGAGGTTTCTTTCTGTTGAAAGGGAGTTTTTCCTTTCCACTGTTGCCTTTGTGCTTGCTCAGGATGGGAGACTGTGACAAAGTGAAGATTCAGTGAGTCTGCTGGCTTCCTTAGATAGAGAACTTTACTAATTGACTTTCTATATACTGGTATGTGAATGTTCCTGGAAAGTGCCCTGAGACAACTTTGTTGTGAATTGGCTCTACACAAATAAACTGAATTTAATTGAATTGTTTAAAATCCCGTAGTGGTCAAAGTTGACAGCTTCAGATTTTTTGCAAGGAATTCCAGGTTGTAGGAGTGGAGCAAGAGAAGGCCCTTTTGCCTAGTTCAGTCTGCACTGAGGGGACACTGCAGGTAATTGTGTCTTGAAAGCTCACGCTATAAGCAACATGTAGGAGGATATATATGAAGGCAACAGACCAAGAAGTGATTCAAAGATGAAAATGTACCTGTGTGGATGTATGCGTGAAGTTAATGATGACCAGTTAACCAGTGAATACAGGGTGCATTGATGGGTATGGTAGTTACAGCCAGTTATGAATCTTGGTGCACCATAATAGACAGCATCCAACATCTGCAGGGAGCTTGTAGGAGCGTTCATGTAAATAATGTCACCATAGTCAGTGTAGAGAAGGAAAGTCTCAGTTACAAGATGTTTCCTAGTGTTCAGAGTTAGACAGGATCTATTCCTAAAAAGAAACCCAGTTTTAATTTCAGTTTCTTTACCAAGTTTTTGACATGAGGCTTAAAAGAGAAATGTGAATGACCAAAATACGCAAGTATTTATAAGAATCGACAAACTCAGTAGGAACACCATTTGAAGATAAAATAGAAGATAAAATGGAATAAGCTGTGTTTAAATGAGGGTAATGCAGACCCTTGTATCCAATTTTTTAATAAAGTGTGAAAGTGCTGAAATCATCCAAAAATGCTGACTCTGAACCAAGAAGCTCGCTGCATTGTTTGACAGCCTGATTTCATTGATACTCAAATGTTTTTGGGAGTCTAAAGTGAAATTCAAAGGTTGCACCTTCATTAAGTTCACCCTTCTTCTGTCAATCAAACATCTTAGCTACAAGGTCATAATCTCGCTCCCAATTTACATAAACAAACACCCATATTATGAGTCCTCCAGCGGTTAACCTCAGAATGTATCAGCCCTCAGTCAAGTATTGTGTTACGTAGTCCCAACCTCCCCATAAACCTTTATCAGGCCCTGACTTCCTCCCAAACCCTACCATCTCCAGAAGAGAACAAACTAGTTTGGAGACATCCAAAAATCATTACTTAACAAGACAATGGCCTTTGTCCTTTTTGTTTTTTCATTGGAATAAAGGGGGGGTGACTATGTGGCGGCTGACATAAGCCTCTTATGTAAATGCAGCTTCCCACACAAACAAAGAGGAGTTCAGAACAGCCGAGTTGAGAGGGTAGAATCAATAGTGTGTGTGTTTGTGAGTGTGTTCTATCAATAGCTCAAAATCACTTGGGTAAAGTGTTGTGCATGTGTGCACACAGCTCCACGTTTTAACTCGCTGAATAGCAAGTGGTTATTCCCGGTTCTCTGCGACTCCATCACAGTCTAGACAAAAAAAAAAGAAAAGCTATACTGTTCACAACCGACAGTCTCTTTCTTGATAGAAAACAAACCAGAAAGGGAATTTTTGCACTCGGTTAAGATTCTTTTTCACTCGATACTTCAAAATAAAAGCCTCCTAGCATTTCTGAACAACTTTTAACTGTTTAAAAAGACATCATGGTCCCTTTGAAATCCATTCATACGTGCCAGCATTGAAACATAATAGAATCATCCACGCAGAGGCTTTACGAGGGGCACGCCTGGCACATGCGCCAAACTTTAAACAAAGGAGTGAGCGTGAGCTAGCTGGAAAAGCGTGACCTACAGAGACAGAGAGAACGATAGAGTCGTTTGTCTCCCTCTGCTCTCTGCTCTGCTCGCTCCCTTCCATTGCCTCTGGTTACAGAGGGAAGTCATGTTTCCTGCAATGAGACACAGTGTAAAATTAATAAATAAAACGACATGGAACGTGTCATCTGCCCTGAAGATTGCCACGGCTAAATGCGGGCCACTGAAGCTACTGTTTCAATAAGGGAGGATATAAATTACATTAGCACAGGCGACAAATTTCAAATGTCTTTCTTTCGTTCTCTGTATCCCTCCACATCCTTTCCTCTTTCTAATACCTGTTTGGCGTATGATGTAATTTGTCTGCTTATCCTAATATCATCGTGTTATTTAAATAACTATCATTACAGCACGGTGGCAAGATTTGTGTGGAGCTCACGTTGTCTGCTCCAGTCAATTCACTGTATACAAGGCTGAGGGTGAACATATTCATACCAATTTAAATGATGCAGTTTTTTTTTTTTTTTTTTTTTACAAATTACATTGTGCATCATAAATACATATAGTGGAGGGAGATAATATCAGCTACATGCAAAGAATGTCAGTGAACACAGTGACATTGAGAATCCCAGCAGAGCTGAACCTGCGTGCATCTGTTTGGTCTGGACTCAAACAGAAAAGAAAAGCTGATTTAGTAGAATTACTTGTGTCTGCTGCTGTTTTCATGCTCCTTCACATGCTGTGCATTAGGATTTAAAAAAATAATTATATTGCATCTACAGTCAAGCTGAAATATTGTCTGAAAAGAAATATGTAAACGTGGGTGGGTAAAATATTTAAGCAGTACGCGTTAATTTAAAGAAACTTCATGCTGACTTCATGTTTTTTTGTGTTAATATTTTAGGGACATAATAAAATAATGAAGCAAATACATAAAAACACACAAAAACACGTTGATGAGAATTATACAGTTGCTTTACTTTCCCTGCAGTAATACTTAAAGACTGAAAAGCCTAAGGACTCCATTGTTTGTTCTTATGAAACATTTTCTGTTGACATGAGAAAACTCAGCTGCAAAGTGTTGAAAAAAAAAATCCTCCTGAGTTTAAAAAAAAAAAAGGTGTAAGAGAAAAAAGGATGTGTTCGTGTTGTAAAAACTCCAGTTCATAGATCAACTGGCTTTAACGTGAAAGCATCAAATGTAGCAAAAACTAAAAAAAAGTTTTTAGAAAGGTTCCTATGTGCACACGTTCAGCAGAGCAACAGCACCCCTAGTGTGTTTCAAAAGACAAAAAGCATGCACTGAAAGTTAGTGGTGGTTATTACTATGATTTTCTGCATCTTGTCTAAATGTTAGTAGAATCACGTGTCATATACAGACTGGGACATCTTCAGATTTAAATAGGACTTTCTCTCCTCGAGTAAAGTTCACTCATACTTAAAATGTGTAAAACACAGTTTGGAGACTAATAAAATACTGAAACATTTAGCTGTAAGTACATTATATTGTCATATAAACGGAGAGAATGACCTAACAAACTCCTTTGAGCAGATCAATTTTCATGAGTCAAACTGAATAGAACCTGCTCAGATCGATGAACCTGCTGCAGACATTCACTCCTGAGAGGGGAGGTAGATTTCTACAACCTGAACTACCGGTAGTAACAACATACTTTTCACTTTTCTTCTGAATCATCTCGCTCACCCCCACCCCCAGTCCGGACTGAGTTCTGCCATTTCCCCTCCTCACCTTCCCAATGACAGCCACGAGGGGAATTAACGCTAAGGCAGACATCCAGGTGAACGTAAAGATATACGTATTCCTTTTTTCTCTTCCATTCCTCTATCCCTCCTTCCATC